ATTCATTCATTCATCCATTCATTCATTCATTCATTCATTCATTCATTCATTCATTCATTGTTCTATCTTTCGTTCATTTTCATCCGAACAACGCAATCATCACTATCACCATCTTCACCATCGTCACCATCGTCATCATGGTCATCTGTATTATAGTCCTAACCCAAGCGTACACGCGTTCGTTTCTTCTTATGTGTATAAATAATTAAAATTAATTAATTAATTAAAATTAATTTAACAACTATTTTCCGCGTTACAATATATATCTGCCTGTGTGTGTGTTTTTGTGCGTGTGTATGTGTGCGTGTTTGTGTGCGTGTGTATGTGTGTGAGTGTGAGTTTATGTGCGTGTGTGTATGTATTTATATATTTATGATATATTTTTCAAGATTTGCATGTCATTCCTATGACGACGACGACGACGACGATGATGGTGGTGGTCATGGCTGTGGTAATGATGGTGATGATACTGATGATGATAATGATGATGATAATGATGATGATGATAATGATGATGGTGATGATAAGGACGATGATGATAATGATGGAGCTTGAGTTCGTGTACTTCTGTAAATTTCGTTCTCCGTCTCCGCCGTCTCTTTTACTTAATCTTTAATTACTTTATATTTTTATTGCTGTTATAATTACGTTTATTATAATTATTATTTATTATTATTATTGTTGTTATTATTATTATTATCATTATTATTATCGCTTGTATTTATAACTGTTATCAACATAATTTCGACATTTTGATCATGATTTGAGAAACAATATTTATCAATAATAAGGCTAATAACGGTAAAATAATAATAATAATAGTAATAATTAATAATTATTATTATTATTGTTGTTATTATTATTATTGTTATTATTTGAAAATACATGATGATGATAATACCTCTATATCTATCTATCCATCTATCTATCAATTTATCTATCTATCTGTCTGTCTATCAATAATTTTAGCTGAACGAATGAATGAATTAATGAACGAATTAAACAATTATGACATTGTATTTGTTTTGATCTTGGTTATGATGATGATGATGAGTTGTTGCTGATGATGATGATAATAACCATGTTTATTATTATTATTAATTAATTAATTAATTAATATTATTATTGTTATTAAGTTTGGTGATGATGATAGCGATGACGATATGAACACGGTGTGAATTTTTTTGTAACAAGAAATTTATAATCATTACCACCATCATCGTCATCATCATTATCATCGTCATCTTCGTCGTCGTCATCATCATCATCATGAATTTATATATATATATATATATATATATATATATATGAATTGTTTTGTTACATTTTTTCGTTATGGGAGTTAGTATAAAAATTGAAATAAATTTCTAAATTCGGAATAAGGTTTGTTCTTATTATTATTCCTAAATACAAAATAATAATGATAATAATAATAATAAACAGTATTCAACGTGTCACTATCATGTTTTTTGATTTGGTTTCTTTATGTCGGTGGTTTTCTTGGATGTGGTTTTTGAGAAGAAATATGAAAATTAGTTTGACCTCTCATTCTCCGAATGAGGATATACTAAAACAGTCCGGTTATGAAAAGAGGAAATAACTACAAATAATTCGACGGGGGCGGTTAAAGTTTTTTGGTCACATCATGTGGAAGGAAAGAATGGAAAATCTAACAACTGCTGGAAAGATTGCAGGGAGAAGAGATCGCGGTCAACAACGAACAACATTCGTGAAGTCCTTGTGCCACTTGTTGAATATCACCACATTTCAACTCTTACAAGCTCTTACAACAAGATCGGGTTTTGTGGAGGTCGGTGATCGCCAATGTCCTGAAAAGATAAAGCACGAGAAAGAATAACAAACAGTAACAATATTAGAAACAGAAAAATAATCACACGTTCATCTCTAAATCATTGGTTACTATGGCAATGTTTAAACACACACACACTACTATATATATATATATATAATAATTATTATAATTTAGAATTTGAATTCGTAAATAAATATGGCTGACAGAAATAGTAGTAGTAGTAATAAAAATAATAATAATAATAATTGCAGTAATCATAATTATAATTGTAGTTATAATATTTATACTGGTTGTAATGTTGACTTGAAAGGTCTCCGCCAGTTTAAATGTAATATCAACGTGTTCATTTCAACCGCTAATAATGAAGGCTTGTATTTTTTTAATTATTTTCAATATAATTATGAATGGATGAATGAGTGAGTGAGTGAATAAAGGAATGGATGAATGATTGGATGAATTAATTTACTTGGGAAGGAATGAGTGAATGCTTGAATTATTGAATTGAAAAATTCTTAAAAAAATATATTTAATTGATAGATGAATAGACGAGTGAATGAATGTTTGAGCAAATGATGAATGAATTAATTAATATAATTATAACATAATAGAATAAATTATACGGATTTCAAACAACAATTGATAAACTTAATTAAGATTATTATAATGCAAAAATGCAACCAAGTAGACATGAGGTATGAGAGGCAGGTGTTGGTGCTGCAACTGTACAAAGAATTTAGAAACTTCTGTAGAAAGTTATGCGGCATTGACTTCTATGTTAGTAGGATTGATGGATGGATGGATTGATGGATAGATGGATGGAAAGATGAATAAATTAATGAATGCATGAACGAACGAGTGGATGATTGGTTTTGATCGATTGATTTCATCCCAAAGATGTTTGACCCAGAATGGGGTCTAAGGAGTTATCCCATTCTAAGAAGTTTCACCAGAAAAATTCGGGAATTTGTATTGAAGGAGTGCGCGGAATCGACGCTTGGACCTCATTTCATCGTTAGAAAGATCCTAAGATATTTTTTAACAATAACTAAAGTGAATGAATGAATGGATAAATGAACGAATGGATGAATGAATGAGTGAGTGAACGACTGACTGAGTGAGTGAATGAATGCATGAATAAACAAATTTAATACATTCAGGCGCTGATTGGACAAAAATACGAAGCCGATGTTTTACCGTTGAAAATTCCGGAGTACGAAATGGACTGCATTCTCGGCGCTCTTAAGACGAACTTTAAATCCCGAAGTTCGCGGGATTGGGATGTTTTGAAGGATTGTTATGCCCTGGATTGCAATAGTTTGAAGCGCGAGTACGTGCTGCTTGATGGTGCTTTCGCCCAAGTTGTCACGGGTAGGCTGGGGAGGAATTTTTTTATTCACGACATAGGTGGCCTGATTAGGTACATGCAACTTGCTAATGTAAGTGGTGGGTTAGTTGCTGATTTGGTTGGCTGGTTTTGGGGTTTTGATTGGTGTATTGGTCGATTGACTGACTCTAACTGATTGGCTAATTATTTAAAAGATTGATCAATCAAAAAGGCGGATTGATTGATTGACTAATTAATTGAATTATTGATTGATTGATTGATTAATTGAATTATTGATTGATTGATTCATTCATTCATTCATTTTTTTTTGGACAAATGTTCCATAAAAATTGTAGCTTGATGATTCGATATGCAAAGAGTTAAACGAAAAACTAGACGATAATGGAAAAGTGATAACGTTCATTAATTGCTTATTGAAATTTGGCGCCAAATTGTGCTGTCAGCAGACGAAATTCAACGAACAAGAGCATATGCACTTTTTTAAATCTTGTTCGTATTTTGTGTTTTTGTTTTAATTTGTTTTCGCTATAAACTTTGTTAAATTTTTGGCCGGTAAATATTTATAATAAATGTTGTTGATTGTTGTCGTGACATGGGCAGTCAAAATTACATCATCATCATCAACAACAACAACACCAATATCATAAGCATCAACAACAACATACACATGAAAACAACCCAACAATTTATTTTCAGTTTTCCACAGAGAGCTCGAAACAGCCTACAACCTCAAATATTGTCATCGTCGTCATCTGCAACAACAACAACAACAAACCAGCAACAACCACAAGACATCAACAAAATACACCAACACTAACACCGGTGACATTACTAAATGTGATTGTACTAATGTTATTACTACTGATCGCCTCATGACGAATAAGGATTACTTTGTGATAAAACGCGTTATCACAGATTTGCATAATTTCGGGAAATACGAAGCTGCAACTACTTTCGCCGAATTCACCGACGACGGATGCATTAATGCACATTACCAAAATGCACTGAATTGTCTATGCAGTCTGTTAGGCGGTCAGTCGGGCGAAAATATGATTTGTTCTGATGTTCTTTGGAGATTTCCCGCGGGTGTAAATTGGGATGATCATAAGTCATATCTCGATGAGATTTATTGTGGAGCTCTTGAAAAGGTTTGCTGTTTGTTCTTGGTTGTTGTTTTTTAATATCTTTGTTGTTGTTGTTGTTTTACTTTTTTCTTGTTGTTGTTGTTGTTTTGTCTCTGTTGATTTTGTTGTTGTAGTTCGTGTTTTTGTTGACGTGGTTTGTTATTCATTATTATCGTCATTATTTTTTCTTTTATTAACAACACGGACGTTAGTATCATTTTCATCGTCCTCATCTTTCTTATCATCATCATCATCATCATCATCATCATCATCATCATCATCATCATCATCATCATCATCATCATCATCATTCTCTTCAGTTGAAAGCAATGACATTAGCGTCGATCAGAAGACCCCTGTCTCACCTTGACCCACTTTCGGAAGAAATCGTGAAGCATTTACTACAGGCAGCCAATCACGTTGAGAGATTTATAGGCCGGGAAATCCTATTGGCTGACGTAAAGTCATACATATGCAAATGCTCTGACGTAATAGGCTCATTAATTATTCATGGACCGCAGGCCATCGGTAAGGCTGCTTTAGTGTCAAAAGTATTTGAAGAGGTGAGATCTTTTTTGATATTTCCATTCGTAATTTTTCGTCTTGACGTTCATTTTTCTTTTTTTACGTTCTCATTCGGTAGGTCGCCGGTCACATCGTGATTTGGTCATTTTTGTCTTACGCTGCTTTCATTTCTGGTCATTTTTTGGTGTTCTTCAGCTTATATTCTTCTTTCTTCCATTAATTATTTTGTTTAAAATGCTTCCATCCATCCATTCATCCATCCATCCATCCATCCATCCATTCTTTCGCAGCTTCCAAGTTGGATAGCTCACAGCAGGCCAGTCATCCGGATAATTAGGTTCGTAGGGCTGACGTCACGATCACGTGATCTTCACGACCTCCTCCTCTCCATCAACGATCAGATACGAGGGGCGTTGTACGGGCGGAAGTGTTGCGGCACCCAGCCTGGCAGCTGCAGGTGCAGCTCTGAAGTACTCGTCGAGAACGAAGATGAATGCTGTCGAGTGCGCGTCGGTGAGGAGTCGTTGAAGCCACTGCTGACGATCGCTGACGTCATCGAAGATTTCCACAACCTTCTCAAGATCATCCCTCTCTGCGTCACACTCGTCATCATCATGGCGTCTCTAGATCACGTGACATCCACCGACGATTCCTTCCTGATGACGTGGCTTCCAAAATGCATTCCCGGCAACGTGAGGATTGTGGTCGGCATGGAGACAAGCTGCCGTCTGATGGAAAAGTTGGTGAATGAAGGGAGAGGTGAGGGCCGTGGGTGGCACGAATACCTCGGTGTTGGTACGATGTCCGTGAGTGAAGTGGTCGCCATCTTGCTGTCAAACATGGCGAAGTACGGCAGAACTCTGACGTCACAGCAGATTAATAGCGTTACTAAGAGCTGCTTCAAACCTCGAGGAGACTGCCTGCTACCGTTGCACGGCCAAGTTTTGTGCTGCTTGTTGCTCGAGTTCGAATCATGGCAGGAGTTGAGCGAAGAAAGTTTGCTGAACTTTCAAACAGTTGAGGGATGCATGCAGTGTCTTTTTCAACAAATCGAAGACGTCATCACGCGTCACGTGATGGCAAGGGTCGTCGGCGCTATGACGGCTTCTGTGGTCGGTCTGAGCGATAATGAAGTTGAAGATGTGCTGACACGTGACCCTGTTACGATGGGGTGGATGGAGGGCGACGAAGAAGCTTCTAGAAGGTTCCCTCCAATCATCTGGATGTTTGTGAGGCACCGTCTCAAACATCTCCTCTGCAATCGCTACGACAATGACGTCATCGTAAGAACATGGAGCCATCAAAAACTTGTCGCCATAGCCACCGAAAGATATTTTGTGACGCCGAACGACTTCGTCTCCGTAAACTGCGCACTGGCCGAACACTGGCTGGCTGAAGAATCTGATGAAAAAGTGGCGTCGACACTTTTAAAACAACCCCTGAGATTTGATGAGGACGATATTTGTACGGAATTTCCGCCTCTGTACAACTTCCGGAAGATGATGCTACTTCCGGTTCATCTAATAAGATCCAATAGAGATGAAGATTTTGTACGCAAAATTGCTTTTAACTTTGATTGGTTGTTTAATAAAACTGCCGCCATTTCCGTTCAGGCCGTTATTCAAGATCTTCGGTTAGTTGCTCATACGGAAGTAAAAATATTATTGGCTGCCCTGGAAGAAGTGATGGTCTACATTGATGATGACGTAAACAATATGGCGTATGAGCTGACGAGAATGCTGTTGATGTTCAGAGATCATTTTGATGGTAACATCGTTTATCACAACTTCCCGCTTCTCACGTCACTCATTGACGTCATGGACTTCCGATCGAAAACTTTCATCGTTAATTCTCCCATTCACAGATCTTCAGTTTGTGCCAAAGAGGCGGAAGTAGATTGTCGGGACGTTATCGATTGCATTGCCGCCAGATTTTTAAATGATAAAACGGTGATTATGTGTAAGGAAGAAAGTAAGCCGGAAGTCCAAGTGTACGATCTCGTCACTCGGAAACACGTGACCACATTAATTACGTCACTGGGTAAGATGTACGTGTCCCCGAATGGTCATTGGATGGTGGTTGTTATGCGGGTTAACAAAAACAATAGAGACCGAGATGTCGAAGGTAGATACGAGTGCAAGACAACCGTAGGACAGACGAGGAACAATTCTGCCGGCGGTAACAATGAGATGCTCTCCACTATCAATTTGTACAAATCAGATGACGGAAGTTACGTTGGTCACGTGTCACCTCTCCATGGAGTTGGACCAATTGACGGACGTTTCGTGACGTCACCTTCAACTTTGAATCACGTGATCGTCACCGATGATGTCATCTGCTACGTCATCGAAGGAGAGAGGAGTTGGCTGAGTGTGAGAGATTTGGGAAGAGATTTTCATGAAATTGTTCACGTGACTTTAAAATGCAGGCCAAAATTTTGCGTCGTCAGTCCCGACCAATCGGTTGTTTTCACGAATTCGAAATGTTCTTTGATTGGCTGTCGTTTGTTATCAACTGTGACCAATCAGAATCATCCGATGCGGTTAGAGTTGAAGAAAGAGCCAGTTTGCTTGGGATTCAATGGACAATCAAATCTCTTGTTCGTCGTCTTCCAGGTCTCACATTTCAATCATTTTATTGTTCAGTGATGTGTTTAAATGGTGAATGTTTTATGATATAACAATCCGATTGATTAACTGAAAAAATTTTTTAAAAGTTTTCATTCGACCTGCCAGAACAACGACCTACTGATGGTGGACATCAACACATTCAACAACCACCTCTACCCGCGAAAATGCGTTCAATTTCAACCGCACCTACCTTGCAACATCTACAACAACGTCATCAATCACGTGATATATGACGTCACTGGCATCCTCCTCCTGAAGACTGACAACAACATCCTTGTGTACGACACTCGTCAGTCCTGCCTCCGTTCGTGTATTAAGAGACCACGTGATCTGCCCTTAGAATTTCGTTACCCCAGACGTGAGTGGATAGAAGAGGTGAAGTTCAAGGACGTTCTGCTCTACAAAGGTCGCGTGATGGCCACAATAATGAGAGATGTCAGGGTATGGAGCCTAAACGGATGTCCAATCATTATCCTGAAAGCTCCCATTGGTCAACTGAATCACGCGATATTGGCCGTCGCTTGCTACGGATGTGACTTCGGCTTCCACAAGAACGAAGGCGAAGATCGTCTGGTGACGTCATTGAGAGATGATCGGAGGTTTCAAATATGGCGTCTCGATCAGCTGTTCACGCACGTCGTATCTCCGGATCGTCTGCCCACAAAACCAGTCAAGCAGATCGAGGTCAGCGGTGACGTCATCATGGCGGTCGGGAAGGGAGGTCAAGAGATGGCCATGTTTGACCCAGTCACAGGTCACATCAGAGATCTCTTCACCCACGAGAAGCCCATCAATGATTTCTGCCTCAGCAAGTTTGTCGTTTAGAAAGTTTAAAATTTCTTACGATCTTTAAATTTTTTTGAAATATTTTTCAAAAACTTTTTTATAATTTTATGGTCATTTATAAATAGCAGCTTACAAAAAACCATACGCACACAATATAGGGATGGCGTGTTTGCCTTGGTATCGATAAAGAACTCGAAACCGGGTCGGAGCAACAAAATATGGGACGTCGAGAACCGCTGGTTGATGGTTGAGTTCGGTAACCAGCCATCCATCACAGCCGCACTGACGACCAGACTCGGTTTCTACTGTTTCATGAGAAGTGATGATGGCGAGAGGTACGAACTCTACGAAGTGAGATTCAAAAAAAGAGAGAGGAAAAGGAACATGATGATGAAGGGAGAGGACGTCGAAAGAGAATATGTAGTAATTGATGGTGAAAAATTTTGTGACCGAAGTTGTATCGGTGTTAATGGTGGCGGTAGTTTTCCTCCACATGTTGGTGATGGAGGTGGCTGGAATGGTCTTGAGGGTGGTAATGAGGAAAGTTGTGGTGATGATTATGGTGATGGCGATGATTATGGTAATTGGGATGATAATTGTGACGAGATTATTCATAATTTTGTTGATGAAGATAATAATAATAATAATGATAATAATAATAATGATAACAACAACGACATCAACATCAAAATAAGAAATCACAAGAACTACAAATATACTAATGATGTTAAAAACATCAGCAACTACATCAACAGTAATGAAATAAATCGCCCAAGCAGTAACGTCACTAGCAGCAATGACGTCAACAACAACAACAACAAACGCAGCAAAAACATCAACAAAACTGACAACAACAACGGAAACAATGGCGATGAGGATGACGTCACGCATCGCGAAAAATCAACATGGCGACACAAAATCGCGTTCACCCGAGTTGAAGTAACGAGATTCGCCCAGAAACCCTTCCTAACTGACAATGATAAATGGCTTGTGATTTTAGCCGTTGATTACAGCAGCCGAAGCGGTTGTAGCGACCACATTGATTGTAGCTATCGAAAGCAACGCGAAACCGCCGGCGATGTTGCTGGCGGTATCTGTGGCATGTGTGGCAAGAAAGACGCCTCGTCGCCTTGTGGCTGTGGCACTAGTTATAACAATATTATTAAGAATTGCAACAATGATGGTGGAATTAATGATGCTACTACTACTACTACTACTGATAATAATCACAGCAATAATAATAATAATAATAACGATAACAATAACGATAATGATAATAATAATGATAATAATAATAATAATATGAGACAGTGCAACTTCATTAGGCAGCGAATAGTTGCATTCAGAGTGGCTATCGATGACGAGGAAGAAGGACGAAGTTTTAACGAACAAGATCGTTATTACGATCTAGACGACGACAGAAACGTAAATGATGACGTCATCAAGGAATCAATGAACGATGACCAATCAAATCGCGTCATACAAATCTACCCCTACGATCTGCGCCAATCGGCTTCAACCATCCAGCACATCCTACGCCTGTACAAGCATCCCCTGCACGAGGATCACGTGATTGTACTATTTTCCGACAGATGTCGTCGATGCGGCGATGACGTCACTAACAACGTTAACGACGACGACGACGAAATTTTCGATTACTGCCCCGGCGAGGATCACGTCAATTTCGATGACGTAAGCTGCATCGGAATGCTCGTCGTTGACGTCACAAGAAAGGAAGTTGTCGTCATTGTCGAGGATCTACTTCCGGTTGGAACAAACTTGCAGAGGTTGATATTCACGAGGGACAACAAACGCGTCTTCGACTGCCACTCGAACGTCTACGAGGTCTGCTCGGGCCGATGGCTGGGCATGTTGGAAGCCAAGTACAAAAAATGCCACAAGCCTCAAAAGAGCGATGACGTCACGAAGACCATCAAGGAAAGATTTGGCTACCCCGTGGCGCTAATCATGCCGAATGATCACGCGATGCTCTACCTGAAAGATGATTGGCTGACGGTGGTGCGCCTGTCGGATTGCATCATACTCGGAAGGGTGTCGGTGCACACACGCGTCAGCACGCTGGCTCTATCGCGAGATCAGCGAACAGTCCACGTGGGCGGATGTGACGGAAGTGTGACGTCATACACCATCGTTGACGAAGATGAGGACGACGTCGGTGACGTAATAAATGGCATCGCAAGTCGGAAACCGGAAATAAAACTTCCGGTGCGAGTGTGGGACAGGGTGAAACCGTATCTGGAATATTCCAGGCCGCCCTATATGCCACCGAGGATGAAAAATAACAAGAGGCGACAGAGTGATGAGAAAGGAGGAGGAGAGTTAAAAATTCTCAATGACGTCATTGATGATGATGATGGGGATGGTAATGATTGTTATTGTCGTGATGATGATGATGACGATGTTTATAAGGTTGTTGGTGGTGATGATGGTGCTGGTTGGAAGGGGAAGTCGTTAAAATTTGCAGTAAATAGATCAAAAGCGTGTGGCATTATGTGAAGGCAGGCATCTAGCCTGGGACAGAACAAACGAACGAACGAACGAACGAATGAACGAACGAATGAATGAATGAGCAAATAAACGAACGAATAAAGAAGTGAATGAGCGAACGAATTTATGATTAGATAGACTGAATGGACATGAAGAAATTAATGAATGAACGAGCTAAAGAATTTATTGTTAGATAGACGAAGTAGGCGATAAAAGAATGAACGAACGAACGAATGAATGAACGAATGAATGAACGAACGAATGAATGAATGAATGAATGAATGAATTAATTAATTAATTGAATAAATGACTAAACTAGTTAAAAATCAAGTGAGCAAATGAAAGAGAGAAAAAAAACCCCAAAAAAGAATAAAAAAAAGTCAAGGAGGGAGTGAGGGAATGAAAAGATAAAAGAATGAAAGTCACGAAGCTTCTTTTCACGACGTGGAAATGTATTTTGAGAGTCATCATTCAATTGATTTTTTATCTCCAATTACAGAATTTTCAACCGTAAATTTAAGCCCTGCGTGTATGTATGTATGTTTGTGTGTGTACGTGTGTTTGTTTGTTTGTATGGCAGGTAAGTTTGTTTGTTTGTTCGTTTGTATGTATGTGTGTGTGTATGTTTGTACTCTTTCTTTCTTTTCCTCTCTCTTTCTCTCTTTCCCTCTCTTTCTTAATCTCTCTTTTTTGGTTTTTCTCTTTTTTTTACTCTTTTCTTCCGCTCTCTTTTTTCGGTTTTTTAAATACATACATACATACATGCATACATACATACATACATACATACATACATACATACATAAATACATACATACATACATACATACATACATACATACATACATACATGCATGCATACATACATACATTCATACATACATACATACATACATACATACATACATACATACATACATACAGACATACATACATA